GTGAAGGAAAAGAGAGGCTTTTAAAAGTATGTTAGGGAGTTACTTTCCCCCAGTCTCTTTGAAAAACCAAAAGAACACCTTAGGTGAGCAGGGGTGGCCCCACACAGCTGTGACCTATGAGCACCCGTGTGACCGCTGTTCCTGGCTTGCAGATGCGGACACACTGGATTAGAGCACGTGGGCTTTGGTCCTAGCCCGGCTACTTGCAGCTCTGGCTGTGGCCAGTTCACTTCCCAGCATCTCAGGGTCTTCATAAGTAAAGTGAGTCCTGTGACCACTGTAGTGTGTATGATGAACTGGGTTGGGATGCATGGGAACATGGGTTGGGGACAGCGTGGGATACCCACTGGAGGTCTCCAGCACCGCCACCATCTGAGTGTGCTGGTGGTTAGGATTGACATCTGGGTCTTAGGATCCCAATGGTGAGCAGCCTGTGCATTCCACTGCAGGGAGAAGCCTTTTGCTTCACCTCCTCTGAGACCATACAGGGACTTCTCTTGAGTCCATCAAAATAAAGAGTTTGGCAGGCTGCCCCAGGGGTGCAGATGCTCTTGGCTAAACCCAAGCATGGCCCTGCTTGGGACGCAGAAGTTGGTTTTTGTCTCTCAGCAATTCTGGGATGGACTCTGAGGTGGCAGGTGGCTAGCATGTGGATTCCAGGTATCCCAGACTCACCCTGGCAGCCTCCCACATGTGGGGTGCTGCAGGCCCAGGCGTGTCAACAGCACTGTGTCTGTGCCCCCACTGTGTTTCCATCTCATCCCTGGTTCTGTAGCTCCCACCCCATGGTTGTCCCAAGTGTCCCAAACCTATTTCATGGCTCTCAGGAGGCCGATTAGAGCTGTTCCCATTTCTGGGTTAATCGGTTTAAGCCACGGGCATCAGGCTTCGTCCCATATCAGCTGCAGTTTACCATTTTGGTCACAGCCCCCTCATCCCACCCCGGCATCAGTGGGATCCTAGTGGCTGCTCAGTGGGGCTGAGGCCTGTGTCTCTCTGTCTCATTTCAGGGAGCTGATGCGTGACATGACCCTGCAGATGTGGGAATCTAATCTCCTCTGAGATGGCTTTTCCTAGGGATAGAGCTGCCTCTGTGTGTGTGTGTGTGTGTGTGTGTGCGTGAGAGAGAGAGAGAGAGAGAGAGAGAGAGAGAGAGAGAGAGAGACAGAGAGAGAGAGAGAGAGAGAGAGAGAGAGAGAGAGAGACAGAGAGAGAGGGATTGTCAGAACCTGTGGCAAAGCTGGGCACAGTAGCCCATGTCAGAAACCATAACATTTGGTTGAGGGCTATGGTGGCAGAGGCAGGCAGATCCCGGAAGCTCACTGACCACCAATCTAGCCTATGAGCGAGCCTAAAGACAATGAGAGACACTGGGTCAAAAGATAAAGTGGAGAGGAACGAGCTGAGAAAGATGCAGGATGTATCCTGTTGACCCCACACACGTACCACACAGTCACCACAAACCACACCACACACACATACACACACACACCACACCACACACATACACACACACCATACCACATGCTCACTACACACACACACCATACACACATACATACACACACCACACACATATATACCACACACACATATATACACACACACACAACACACATATACCACACCACACAATACATACATACACCATACCACACACTCACCACACACAGAGACACACACACACACTACACACACCACACTACACACAGACACACACACACACACACTACACCACACACTACACCACACACCACAAGCAAACATACACATACACACATATCACACCACACAGACACCACACACACACATGCACACATACCACACCACATACACACCACACACATACCACACACACACACCCCACTCCCTTAACCCCCAAAATGAAAACTGCTCTTTATGTCTAAATACCGACTTAGGCTTGTATTTCCTATCCAGGCCCCTCAAATAAGCATAAATCAACATCAGATAAAGAGAGGTGTGTGAGTTGGGCAGGGATGTGGGCTGGAGGACAGCTTCAATCTGTCAACAGCCTTTTCCTGCAGGAAATGCCAACAGCTGGAAATGAATTAAGTCTGTCACAGAGTTGGTTATGACCCAGAGGTGAGGGGCTTTGGAGCAACCTTTACTCGGGAAATATTAAGGAAGGATAGAAACAACATGTGGAACCTGAGTCCATGCTCCCCAGAGGACAGAGCCGAGGGGATGTTTACCGAGCGCTCGGAAAATGTCAGGTGAGAATACGCTGCTCAGTTTGCGGCAGCTTGAGAGAGAAAGAGAGAGAGAGAGAGAGACAGAGAGAGAGAGAGAGAGAGAGAGAGAGAGAGAGAGAGAGAGAGAGAACGGGCAGCTCCAAGGTCCAAGGAAGGGGGTTGTCACTGGGCTTCACCGCTCTGTCTGAAGGCAGAGCCTTCAAAGGAAATCAGTCCTCTTGATCCTGTAGAGTT